CTTTCCCTATAAGAGCACTTAGAAGTCACAGATCACTGAAAAATCAAGACAGAGATTCACAGATACCTTGAGATTACCCTAATTATTATGGCACTCAGAAGCAGATAAATAAATAAATAAATAGATTTTTCTCATTTAGTTTCTGTGGTTATTTAGTTTTGAAGTTTTCTGTGTAGCCATGCAGGCTCAGAACTCCTTGTTTTCAAAAGAAAACTGAGATTCTCACATGAGAGATTTAAATCCAGAAGGTATAGGTTTAGTATAAATGCCAGATATTATGTAACTTTACAGTAAAGTGATGAGTCAGTTACATCATTCACATGTGTTTTAAAAATAGCAACCGAATCATAGAAAATGAGGTACTGAAGACTATAATCACTTAGTAGTAATTCATGATGAAAAATTCTTGCCATCTTCTTATGATTTTGAAAATCTACTTTTTCACACCTTGTGCTCCTTCCACTTACTACAGCAAGAGAAACTGCTTTTGATATATCTGTGTATGGATTACAAGACTGGGCATCAGTTATATCTCTTCATGGTTAGTGGGGAGGATAGCAAAGAAGTCAACTACACTTTGGGTGCATGTAGCACTATGATTGAAGCATTTTTCAATTCTGATGATGTGAGTAGCAAAAGCAGACTTCTAAAATGCTGTAAACCACAACTGGTGCCAAGTAGCTCCTTCAGAAGTGGGTGGAACTGTCCAGATTCACCTCATCATAAACCTGCCATTTTTCCTCAGTTCTTTTGCCACTTTCAGTTAATTTGTAAAACTTTTTTGTTTGATAAAGCAGCATGGTGATATGTTTCATGGTAAGCAGAATGACGGACATAAGATGATCGAGAACTTAGGTCATTTTCTGTGGAAAATTCAAGTGCTTATGGTACTCCTGCTTAGACGGAAGGAAGTAGATTTGAGATAAGAATTCAAAGAAGGCAAAGGGGGCATATGGAAATAAGGTAGATGATCTCTCTGAAGCAGAAGTGGTTAGAAGGCAATTACTATGGGTTTCATAGTATGCCGGGATGCCTGGGAAGCTTATGTAGGTGACACGGTAAATTACCTCATGTATGGGTAGGCGACTCCAAGGAGAACCAGGAAAAACTGACCAAAACTATCCTTCAAGTTTGACTT